AGATTAATTTATACATACATCATAAATATACACAGTACACACACATATATTTTGCATATATTTTCATACATTTTATTTTGAATGTGATTAATCGCAATTAATCGTTTGACAGCACTAAATATATAGACCGGATGTTACACAAACACTCAATTCAGACGTGTCTTGATGTTTTCCAACATAAATACACTGCATTTTTCAGCTTTCAGACACATCCAAGGTCTTTTTAACTGATGTATGTATTTATTTTCCTTCATGGCCACACAGGTGTCCAAGCAGAGTAACCACATGTAGTTCACATTCACTGTGAACATGTTCCACTAAGTTACGCTCGACAACCAGAACTGTCATAAAAAACATTATCATTTAAAACCCGACAAACATTTGTTTACTTTTATGTTTTGTTAGGAAAATGTGGCTGCTGTCTATCAAATAAATGCCTCTTGTTCTAAGATTTTGTTATCAAATGGAATGGAATTCGTACAGATTCTTTCATTGGTTGACTAATTTCAGATAGTTTGGATGGAACACATTCTCATTCTAGAGAGCATTTGATTTGACAAAAATCTGTGAATGAGTCATCAATATTTTGGTGCATTTTTCCAGAAAATAATTCTGTACACTAGCATATACATGTCTTCAAATCTAAGGCACTGCAAGACTTAATGCACAGATCCGATCTTTTGATCTTATTCAATTTTTTGTATCACCTGTTTACATTAAACTTAAGACACAAATCGTATCTGATATCTGCGTTTACATGTATCCAAACTATAATAATTCCATTCTGATCACTTTTATTGACACGGCTGACCTTCCGGTTTTGAGCAGCCATATATAAAAATGATTTATATACTGTAATTAATGTCGGGTGGCTCTTTGACTTTAATGCAAACCAGATGTGATTATCCTGCTTATACCTGTCACGACACGGTGTGTGGAGGCAGGCAGGACGACGAGGACGACAAGGATCCGGAGGGACGAGGGAGCCCGGTGGAGCTGATGGATCGATGGGTGACGGTGGAGGCGAGGGAGCTAGGAGCCGAGGTGGAGCCACTGGGTCTAAGGGCCGAGGCGGAGTCCGGGCCTCGGAGGCTGGATGCAGAGGTGAGGGAGACTCCGACCATGGTGACGCTGAAGGATGGCAGTCCCGCGGGGCTTAGACCGCAATGATGGTGGGCTGAGGCCGAGCAGAGGGGCTGCCAGCTGACAGCGGTGGAGGAGGCTGGAGCGGGTGGGAGGGCGTGCATTTTTGAGGAGCGGGCACTGGAGAGAGCTCTTGGCCTGGAGCCCTTCCTGGGTGGAACTGGGGATCAGGAGCCCTTCCTGGGCTAAACGAAACATCAGGAGCCCTTCCTGGGCTG